AGGCCGGAGACGCCAGCGCACTGTTTGAAATAATTTTAATGCAGCTATAGATGGAAGGATACATAATATTATGCAGAGCATATCCGATATCGGGGCTCAATCGCCGCCTCGGCCTTATAGTTTGAAGTCGGTGTGCCTGTGGATGCACACGGGTGTTATTAAATTAAACAGAAAGGAGGACAAGGGGCAATAGATTTCCAGGTCCAAGATCTGGAAGCGAATAAGAGTGGGAACGATGAGGGAAATAGAGTAAAGATAGAGTAATGGGAGACAGCGAGCACTATGACGCACAAACCAGCGAGCAAATGACGCACATTTGACCCTTGGCGACGACCGAAAGTCCTGCGCCGGGCATGAGGACCAACGAGATGACTGATCAATGTTGGAGTGGAGGTGGGCTTGTGGCAGGAGGATGGATGGAACGAATGGACCGCGCCACCAGACAGTCGGCGGCGGCGGATCGGACTCTGAGTTGAATATCGGACGGGTTGATTTAGCGACGGTGTAGTGGCAAATAAATGAGAACGCAGCGCCGGGAAAAAATCCCCGAGAGTGCTCACTCATTCGAACACGGGGATTCGAACCCCAGTTCACCGGATATCAACAAGTGATTGGCCGAGAAATACCAGGCCTGGCGGAGTGCCGCAGATGACGTTCGATTTCTCGCGAATGGTATGGCGTCCAAAAGGTACGGGAGGGAGGAGCCCAGCACGTCGAGGAAGCCAATGTAAAATAGTGGACTGCGTGGTTGCAGCTGCGCTAAGTAGGGCAGCAGCCAACGATCTACGCGCCCCCTCGATGAGAAAAAGAGAGGACGGGATAAGGGAGACCACGATGAGCCGCGACCACGGCGCGCTCCAATGACGGATTCCGTCGGACGGAGAACAACGGCGGCGAACCCGATTTCACCATGTCTTGCATTGGTGAGCCCGCAGAAGAGGACAAGCGGTGCCGGAGAAAGCCGGATTTAGCCGATATCTTTGGAAGGAAACAAACCAAGACAAATAACAACATCTTCCCCTTTCCTTCGCACAACCATCACTGTTTTCCGTTTGAGACTTTTACGGCTTGTTGTTCCATGATTTTGTGAGAATTCTGTGACGGGTCTTGGCCTTTCTTTTGGGCTGTTCCGGCCGCGTTACTTGCAATTTTTCAAGCTCGAAAGTCCGGAGCCGACTAACGACGCCAACTGAATTTGGCCTCGTCAATCACTGGACATCGACATGAACAAACTGCGTCCAGTGCAGTGAATCGAATTAATCTATGCCCTGTGCCCTGTACTGAGTCCATTCAAACTGCACGGTAGGTGCTAGCCGAGAGCGGGGCGCCTCGCTATCGCATGTAACTTCCTCCGTCAGGCTACCGGAACCGACCTTTTGACGGATTCACACTGTCATCGCAGCGGCTATAAATGCGTAGTCAGCGATTTTCTGCCGATGATGCTCGGACGTCTCGCCCTCTTTGCGTCCCTGGCGACAGCAAATGCCTACCTTTGGCCATCTCCTCAGCTCGATGAACTCGAGTCCCTTCGTTTCGAAATGGACGACTTCCCCTCCCTCCGCATCCTCGTCTCCAGCTTGATAAGACCCTGCGATCGCACCTTACGAGGATTGACAAATCTCAGTGGAATAGCCAACGCCGCAGACTTGATACGGACAGTGGGATGCATTCCTCTCTGTAAAACACACCCCATCGACAGATACAGGCGTTTCACGATATGGCGACGTACGACGTCGCCGATGGCACGGGGGGGATGGACGCTTCGATTCGGTTTCATAAGGATGGGGTGTGTTATCCTCTGCATTGTCTTGTAGCTGAATTCGATGAGGCTCTCCGCAAAGCCTTTGGGTGGCCCTTCCGACACTACTCTCCAAATACTGATAGCCCTGGCGAGCCGTTATGTTTCCGGTTCGTCAATTCTGCTTTTGCTCGCCGAAATATCTTTATGAATATGTCCCAATGTCGCAGTTGCTGACGCACTCGCACTCGCAACTATTATATCGATCGAATCATGGTCAGCCGCGCAGCTCCGTCTTGACTGTCTACGCCTACTCAAGATAATCTTAGTGGGGGACCTGAGATTGCGTTCCGGGGTGGACGTGTGGATGCAGACAGACCCAACATGCCCGCCGTCCCCGAACCGCACCAGAGCATAAATTCCCACATCGCCTCGTTTGCGAGGTTGGGATTCTCACAGGAGGAGATGATCGGGCTCGTCGTATGCGGGTGTGTCGGTATCTCGCTCCCACGGACTTGGTTCATTAAATTTCTTGTTTCCAGACATAGTTTTGGTCGTCTTGAATTCAACGACTCGAACAACGCTGAATCGGCCCACGCACATTTTGACTCCACTAACGTCCACTTTGAGTCCGAAATTTTTAACAGCAACATGTGCGTGGCCATTCTTCTGACCAGAATCACCCATCGTTGACCGCCGTGCAGCGCAAAAGACTACATCGCTAGCATGGGCCAGAACCCGCTGGTTGTCGGCTCCGGAGCCAGAATGAGCTCAGATGGACGTAGCGGCGGAGGCGACACGACGGGCTCGTGCGTTTTCCTACGCTGCCTCGAACCGATGTCTCGCTGACTATCTCACAGTTTCGCCGGTTCGCCTGAACTCTTTGCGTCGACATGTGCTGAATTGTTTGCGCGGATGTTCGATACCGTGCCCCGCGGAGTCCAGCTCACCGAGATCATCACCCCGTTACCCGTCAAGCCTCGGCTCCGGAGACTCACCTTGGACGGCGACATCCTTCGGTTAGGCGGTTCAGTTAGGGTACTGATGGATGTTTCTATGAGATATCCTGTACACTGATCTATCATCATGCCTAGTTCTGGAAGTTGCCCGACAGTCCCGAGCGCACTGTCCAGCTTCTCTGGGACGACCGCGTTGGAGGAGTTCACAACGCCACCCTGCTTCCCTCGCAGATGACGGTATCCCCTGACGGTCTCGCGACACGGTATTATTTCGACCCCGCGGACGACATCGACTTCCTGTCGGTCGACGCCGCTGCTGGGATCACGAGCCTGAGGTTCATCGTCGACGGCAAGATGGAAGACCAAGACGGCGTCGGATTTGCGGTGCAAGATACGCTCGTGTTTTCTGCCACCTCGTGCCGCACTGCGGACTATCCTCTGGCGGGAAAACTGGACGTTGCGGTTCGTGCACCACAACATTTTAATTCTCCCCATCGCAATACTGACATGGTGGGTGCAGGTGCGCACCAGCGCGAATGTAACACGCGTGTTTTTCGAGATAGCGGAGCAGGACATGACGGGCCATGTCACCATCGCCGAAGCCGAAGGCCTATCCTTCTCGCCTGTTCAAACGACAGTCGAAAATGCCACTTACGCCGTATGGACTGCGAGCTTTGAGCAAGAATGGTTTTCCACAAAATACGTCGTGGCGGAGATAGACGGGGTGCTGATCTCAGCGGGCAACACTCCCAATTTCCTGTCTCTTCCTCCGTGTCCCGGGTCGGTGAGGCTAGTACGTCCGTTTGTGCCGCGTTGGCCTTAGATCGTGTCTAACTTATGAATATTACTTACTGAGGCTGCATCCGCTCCTTGTTAATAAACCTGCTTGAATCCTCTCTTCCTCGCGCTGTCTGACTCTCCGGTTCCAGTCCGTCTGCCGTGGATGACTCTGGCTCGATTTGGGCTGCGTCAGTTGCTTTGGAGCTGATGCATGTGTACTCATCACATTTCGCTACCGGCCAAATACTGAAGGGTCAGAGGATATTTTCTATAATCGGGTACCCAAGACAGAAAATTTCCAGACGTAGTACTACTGCTGCTTCATGCACGTATCCGGTTGGTGGGTTATAAAGGCACCTCCCTGCTTCTCGGTCTGGCGTTCTTCTTCCCGAACTCGAGGCTCGGACAGGCCGTGGTGCGCCACTCATGACGCTCAACCTCTCTTTGCAACTCAGGTCGGCCGACATACATTGCCAGTGAACTACAGCTTTCCTCTTGCTCAGGTTTTTTCAGCATGCCATTCCGGATACTTACTGGACTCAGACCCGTTGCATCGCCTTTTCTACCTTCAACTATGGGTCTAGATTCGAAGCGTATTCCTCGCCCTGTTGACAGATTCATTCCAGGATCAGCCTCTTCCCCTGCCTTCGGGCCATCGAGGACAATACCGTTCTCTGCTACCTTGTTGGTGCGGAAAACGCTCACGAGCTCTCCACTGTCGGTTCGATGGTGTAGTTGGTTATCACGTCTGTCTCACGAATCGGCGAGTTCTACGATAACATCGATCGTGCCTAGGGGCGTCAAGGCGCGTCAGCGCTCGCCGATCTCGCCCGAGACCAATGTGATGTCATCATACGACGCAAACGCCCGAGGAGCAAAAAGGCGCGTGTTGGGCCGGAGGTAAGTCATTTTATTTTTCTTCGGAAGATTTATTCACGTATGTGTGCAGCATTTCCAATTCAAATGCTCCGGTTGCGAGAAGGAGTTCAAGCACATCGTGAAACACTTGACTACGATCAAGAAAGACACGTCCAAGTGCAAGCAAAATCGTTTCAGGGTGCGCCCCGCCGATGGGTCATTCAGTGCGGAGACAACTTTAGATTTGTGGCGCGCCTCGATGGAATCGGCAGCGGCGACGGCGAGTGCTGCGTAGTTTTTTCTTCTATATGCGACACCCCCGCTTTCCCTCGCTATCTCCCTGGGTTCCTCGTTCTCCTTCTGATTTCTCTCGCGACACCCTCTCTCTGATCTCGCTCGCGACACCCACACTTCCCTTTGAGCTAGCCTGTTTATGACGCGATGCCTGTATCATCTACGTTACCTGCGGCCGAATAATATGTGTCAACTGAATGATGTGCCCAGATTCTGGTCAGTGGCTGTGCTGCTGGTCCAGCCTCGCAACATAAGACACCAGTGCCCGAACATCAAGATTTGTGAGGACTGCATTTTTATAGGGTTTGAAGTCCAAGTCGTGGATATGGAAGTTAGTGGCACTGGTGTACGTCAGTCAGATCCTGTCCATCGGTTCGTTGGTGTAGTTGGTTTATCACATCTGTCTCACATTTCCCGAAAAGCTGGCGAAAATGTGCACAGGAGGTCCTGAGTTCGATCCTCAGTCGAACCAGGTATTTTTTGTTCAACTACTCTTTTGCACCACTGCTCCATGCGATCATTCCGACGCTGTATTCTTCCACTAGCTGTGGCATCGAATGTAATATGTGCACAGGAGGTCCTGAGTTCGAGCCTCAGTCGAACCATTGTTTTGCTCGTTATCGATCTCGGCCAGTCGCACACCATTCCGCCGTTATCGCGATTTGATTATCTCGAGCCAATCTGTTCCTCATTTTTGTTTCAATAGTCGACCCGACAGCTACCTGGCCCTCCTCATATTAATATTGCCTCACGTCGTCGCCTGTGGTGCAATACGGAAGCCGCAGATCAAGTCTTTGATGTACGCTTCCCGATTGGGTCGATATCTCACGTGGCCGGCGTTGAGTAGGTTTCCACTTTGGGACAGGGGCTGTAAGCGCAACAGTTTCACCCCTATCAGTCAGAGCCAGTTTCTGCTCCAAGTTGTGGAACTGTCCTTCTTCGGGCCAGAAGGAAATCCGGATGATATGGCTGTCGAACGCGCCAAATTGAGGAATTCCTGTGCTGAATGAAGCAAATTGATCCCACAGTCAGGAAATGAAGCGACTAGAAAACCCCTGCTCAAAATTGAAAAACATCCGTACGTATCTACAGTGCCCGGCAGTTCAGCAAAGGTGAGAAGCAGCTGTGATCATTCGTCAAAAGTGCACGAATCGGTATTTGAACAAAGACTGGCATGAATGTCATAAGCGGTGAATGAGCGCAGGAGACAGCGTTTACATTGTCCCCGAACTAACCAGCACCCCGGGCAGCATCCATCGCATCATCCGCACACTACGTTCACTTCATTTTCCGAGTTCCTTGTGTCGCCGAGCAGCAGACGGATGATCGACCCAAGTGCCGCCGGTGTCGGAGCGAAGGACATTGGTAGGATGCACAGGGGGCAGGGAAGAAAAAGAATACCCATCCGGGCTATTAAAACGCGGGGAGTCGAACCCCGGATAGCCAATCATTGAACTCCACACACAAATAATCAGGCTTGGCCGCAGTGTTCCGCACACAATATTGGAGTTCTTTGCCCAGTTCTTTCCCAAGCTTAAGAGGTGTAATTAACTTCGGAAAGGGTGACCTGGGAAATATAAGGCGAGTTACTGGCGTGGATGTTACAAAGATTTGCAAGCAGAGAACTAGGCGAAAGTTCACAAGTTCGGGGCCAGTTGGGGACCAGGAATGTCTGAGCCATGGCCCATGGGGATAGACGAAAATTGCAAACGAGGTTCCCACAAGAGACGCAGAAATAACCAATTGGAAAAAATCTGAATTTCCAGTCACCGTCCGGCGGCGGGAGAAGAACCAACATCACGGGACCAGTTGAAACAAACATGTGCAAACTGCAGCACAGCCGCCACCATTGTGCTCCTCGCCCTCCATCTCTCGATTCCGGGATGCGTGCGTCAGCCTGGATTCCATCCAGCACGATGCCTTCAGTTAAACACCTCCACAGACTACACGGGGAACCGCGCTCACAGACCGGTCATTTCAACCGTTGCACCAGATGAGCTGAGTGAAATCCTCGACGGCGATGACTTCGACAAGTCGCGTCTCGGGCGGGAAGTCATCGAATATCAATTAGAATGCTATGAAGAGTATATCTCCGCCCCGCCACGGATTGCTGCCCGTGCCCGCATTCCCTCTCTGGTTGATCTCGCAGCAGAGAAAATCCCGGCAGCCGCAGACGCCTCGGATGCAATCCCCGATGAAGTGCTCTCACATCACATCTGGGGATGGCATTCAATCCCGTATGCTATGTTTCGCGCCGCTCTGACGCGACTATCTGAGCCTGGGGAGCCCGCATCGAAACGACAGAAAACCGACGCAGCGGCGTTGAAATCTGAGGGCGATATAGACGAGTGGTGCGCTTTTCACTGTTCTCCCTCTCTTAGACCTCACTTAAATCAGGATTCTGTTCCACGAGAAATATTTAGGCGACAATGAGCGCCTTGGGAACGATTGGCGGCAACACCCGCTCATCACTCTCCAAGATGCCGACTGCGACGCCGTATTCCCGACTTCGATCAAAACAAGCCAAGCACGCACGATTACCCGTCGCCCTGATTTCCTCGGCTATAAAGTCCTCGACGGTGCGCGGAGCCTCACGGTCGACATCCAACCATCCGTTGCGGCATTCCGCGCCGTGTTCGACCGCATGACGGACGGACTTCTCAAAAATCTCAACTGGAACAATGTCATCGTCGCAGGCGGCATTGTCCTCGGTGTCCTGCTCTCCGTCACTGGCGCGGGCGAAGCATGGAAGGCGTCCGATCTCGACATTTACCTCTACGGCCTCACTCCGGCGCAAGCTAACGACAAACTCCGTGAGCTCTTCGCCACTTTCAAGGCCAACCTTCCCCCGGGGAGCCCGGTCCTTATCGTACGGAACTCGAAAACCGTCACGTTCTATTCCAAGTATCCCCTGCGCCGCATCCAAGTCGTCCTTAAACTGGTGAAATCCCCGCGCGCGGTCCTGTTAAATTTCGACCTTGATATTTGCGCGATGTGCTAGGGCGGCAGCGAGTTCTGGATGCTTCCTCGTGCGGCGCGGGCGCTTGAAAGTAAGTTATCTCCATTTCTGCTTGCCCTACTGACAGCGTTGAATTGCGTACAGCGGGGTTCGATGTGTTTACCATGAATATGATTCAGGGCCATTATTTGTCAGAACGCAGAGCAACCCAGGAGCAAAGGTAGTCCTTGTCTTTTCTGCCGCATTGATTTCAACCATCTCTATCAGGGTTTTCAAATACGCGGGCAGGGTTCGCATATCTCCCTCCAATTCTGGTGAATACTGACCTAAGAGTTAGGGCTACGGACTCCGCATCCTACCCTCCTACATATCGTCTCTGAGCGAATCGGCGGCCAAATTGGACGACATCTGTCGGGAAGAAACGCTTTTCGGCGTCAACATGGACAAAATCGCCGCAGCCTCCCGGCGATGGACGAGGGAGATCGTCGAGGAGATATCTGGCGGGGGCCCGAAACCAACCGTTAGCCACGCGCACCTGGAGAACAAGCACCAGTTGAGCGCGGAGCCGCAGAATCGCAGCTGCTTGACGGGCTTTGGCTTGTTCATGCGGCATGTAGCGCTGTGGGAGATGGAGCGGGGTGGAGAGATCGAGTACGTCCCCCGCCCGCTTGCTGCTGCGCCCAACAAATATTTGATGTATTCACTCACCTTTGCGCAGGATCAAAAAGGACGATTGGGCGTCCACCAACTATGGGGACGCACCAGAGTCGGTGCGTGACTTTACCCCGCCCCCGCAGTGTCTGGCTCTCATGATTATATGTAGGTTCTCACTTACGATGATACCCCGAGGTGCGTGGATCGCATCCGTTTGACGCGACTCTGACATGTACCTATCCTTTGGCACGGCAGCTACACCTGGGGGAAAGACTTCAACATCCCCGACTTCAAACACCAGATTGATTCCTTCAACGTGCGCCAAATCACCGAATGGCTTCCTGACCCATACTGGAACGGCGATTCCGAAAGTTTCCGCGAAGAGCACGGACTCGAGGACGAGGACGATGAGGAGGTATTCAAACACGCAGCGCGCCTGACGCATGCGACCAGCATCGACAAGATCCTGGACCGCCGGCACGACATCGTCTTGCCCGTCGTCGTTCCCCGCAACCTTGCTGCGTATATAAACCGCCTCGTGGGCGCCGCGCAGCAGGCGGCGGGGCTGCATGTCCAACACCTCCTTACGCCTGCGGTCAAGGACGCCAAACACCTCGTCGTACCTCCCAGTTCCGCAGACTCTCGCGACGGTCTGTACATGTGGCGCATCGGGAAGGAAATAATGTGGCAGCAGCTTGACCGGCGCATCGACGAGTCTGTGTTTTCTTCCTCATCTCTAACCTGCATATCTGTCGCTCACTGGAACATACACAGAGTCTTCGAGGTGCTCTACTCGTTCTATCGTGCGTACGACCGGATCCAGAGCGAATCTAAAGACGTGCGCCTCGTGAGCCAGTTATCCAAGCGCGCGATTCGGGCGACGGTGAAGGACGAGTTTGACACGTTCGCGAGGTGGATCGGCCGCCAGCCGCTTTTCGTACACCGGTTCTATAATCAGGTTGTAGTGGTAATAATTCGAAGTTTATCGGCGTTTGGTGAAGCTGAACTGAACACCGCACCCGAAAACCCAAATTCCATTGTGTTTTATTTCAGACTTCTCACGGGGATTTTTGTCACTGGACACACTTTGACTCCCTCATTGAATATATCGACATTGGTCTCCCTCGGGTATGGTTGGATAGCAACTCGCAGTTACCGGACAATAGTTTGGGACCCCATTGACATTAACTGCGACATCTGGGACTTTGAACTTTGATCTTGAGTGCGATCTGACTTTACCCAAATTGCTGGGGTCCAAAACAAAATCCTACATAAAACGACGTGTATCCAAATACACTAAACGGCGAATTCAGATGCGCAGCCTATGGAAGAAACGAAAGGGTCTATTGTACGATAACCTGGAACGGGCGGGCCCCATTATTGAGGCCTTGATTCAAGACGTCGCCGCTTGGTCCCACGCAGCTTCTGGTAAAGCCCGCATACATTGCACAACGTGTTACCATCATCATCCCTCCTCCAGAGGGGAGAATACCGGGTATGGCAGTGGCTGCATTCGGGCCCTTCTGGCGGGCCGTAGGACGTCTCTTTCTGAGGCTGGTAGTGGTCCATCGCACTCACGGCATTTGGTTCGTTCACAGCAGCCTTTTTTCCACCCTTTTTGTTCCCTTTTTTAACCCTTTTTCAATTTCCCATCGATTTTCACCGGATTTTTTTTTCCCTTTTAGCATCTGGCATGTAAAAAGGGTAGAAAAGGGAAAAAAAAACTAAGTCAATACCTCTAAAACTGCAAGAATTCTCCGAAAAAAGGGTGCGACCTCCCTTCACCAACACTTCACCTTTAACAACTGAGGAAAGCGGCGGCCCACTGGGACGCCGCTTTTAATTGAGTCAGATTCGTT